TGTTTAAAATGCACCTGTAGAGCAATTCAGTTTTTGCGTTACTCGTTTGGTGTCCGCTGGGGCTGGTGTATTTATCTGGGACATGACACCCTGGATAGCTGGGCATAAACAGCAGAATTATTTTAATTGTGTGTGTAATTCTCATTGGTGGGAGTTAGAATGTTTTTATTTTGTCTTAAATTTATTAAATAATCTGATCCATTCTTGTACTGGAACAGAACTCTTCCTATAAGTAATTTTGTGTATAATTTTTCCCCAATCTAACTTTCAAAGTATCAGTTGATAAGACTACTCCTCCTTCCCTTCAGCAAACCACTCCAGACCTTAATCCAAGTCTCTCTTCTGAGAGCTTTACTGACATACAGCTGCTGTTTTAAAATGTTTTTAATTAAGCACATGATTTGTGGCAGATTCATCCCTCCTGACTTCCTCTCCATCCTGATCCAAAAATAAGTACTTACAGCAGTGGGCCTTAGAAGCTTTCAAGTTCTGGTAGTGTTGACTTTTTAGGATAGCTCATGTTTTGTGGTTTGGGTTTTTTTTTTTTTGTTTTTAATTTTTTAAACTTTGAGGACATTTCTGTCCTTTGTTTCTGTTGTCACTTTCACATCTTCCCTGAATTTCATATATTCTTGAATTTCAGTGGAATTTCAGATGTGTGGGCAACAGGAACAGACAGCTTCTGCCTTTTATGCCACGTTTTCTCTGTATTTTCACTCTTGAGCAGCACTGGTCTCTCTGGCACTCATCCCAGACCCAGTCCCACCTTTCCCCTATGGCTTTACTATACTTTGCTCACCTCAGCTGCAGGAGGCAAATTCCTTCGTTTCCTATTTGCGACTTGGTGGATTCCACACGTTCCTAGAACTGCACTTTGTTATCTCAGAGAGATTGGGGGTTTTTTTTGGTTTTTATTTTTTTTAAACGTCTGTTTTTGCGGTGGGTGAAGTTTGACCTTCTGTCTCCCTTCCAAATAAGAGTATTTACTTCCTAATCTTCTTGACGTGCTTTATGTGTCAATAGAGCTGCAGCTGGGGTATTGCAGGGTGACAGGAGCCAGTGAACAAAGTACTGCTGAGATCAGGGATAACGTTTCCATTTCCAGTTACCCCTTCTCACAACTTCTCCTCCTCCAGTTGGACTTGTGCAGGGCTGAGCCACCTTCTAAAGCCGAGAGGACTTGGTGCAATCCCTCTCCCACTTAATCCCTTAGTTTCAGGGGAACTTCTCTTTGCTGGTGATGACAGTAACGCGTTATCCGCTAAGTAATTTTTCATGCTTCTCTGTTTCACAGTGACTCAAAATGTCAGCTTTCAAGAGGCATTTCTTCTTTCACTTACGTGTGTTCGGCCTTGCTCTGTTCCAGCAATGTGTGCCAGAACTTGGTGGAAAAGCAGTGGGAGAGGACTAGTCTGCAAGAATGAAAAATGCATAATATGGATAGCGACAGGCACGGTTCCACTCTGCTTGGTTTACTGCCTCATGGCTTTTGTTTAGGAGGAAGAAAGTAGAAGCTTGACCGCGCAAACTTGTGGTTCAGCGCGTTGACTGTACGTGAAGTCTGGCCCTTTGGAAAAGGGTTCTGAAAAAAAAAAAAGAAAATTTCAAGTAGGCCGTCTGCTCACAGCGTCGCACAATGGGGTCTCTGTTTTCCCGTTTGAAAAGTAGATTTTGTGCTGTGACTAGACTTGATATCGAGTTAGCTTTATTTTTAGTAATAATCCATTGTTATAATATTTTGGAGTGCCACTGTAACTGTTGGTCACGATTTATGATTGGTATCAGCTTCTCCTGTGTTCTGGTCCTTGTGCCGTTGTCAGATCCGCTTCTCCAGACTCCACGGGTCATTGCCTCTCGCTCCCCACTCGCTTCAGCTTCTGGACCGACCTGGAGAAGGTCAGCGCTGTGGGGAGGGAGGGAGAGACCGCACAAAACTCAACACCTTTGTAGTTTTGGTACCTACAGAGATACATGACATGCTCCAAAAAACCCAGTATCAATTTTTTTTTTTGTTTCCCCTTTGCATTTTTAATAAAACACTTCACCACTGTTTTTGCCAGCTGATGTCTTGCTGTACTTGCCGTAGTTAGTTCTGATTTCTCTTTCGAGTCTGGCTGTTAAAATATCCAAGGGATACCCTGACTCTTACTGCAGCTTGGACCTGGAGGTGGTTAATTATGTGGTGAAGCTCTCCGAGGCTGTTCCGGGCTGGCTTCAGTGGCACTTGAGCTCAGCTGTGACCAAGATGGACGTATCCACTTGGAAAATATCTTCTCGGTTGGTGTGGCAGCAGCTGCCAGCTGAGGAGCTTTGCGTTGTCACGGTGAAGAACAGGAACAAGAAGGCGGGCGAGAGTTGTGTAATCGGTTGGGTGTGGAGGATGTGGAAGAACTTATTCTCGATTTCTCTCTCTCTTCCCCTTTTTTTTTAAAGCAGAGCTTATGAGGAGACAAATTATGGTTTCACTTTAATATTAAAGTCAGAATAAATAGCTAGAGGAAAGGGAACTGCAGATTTCTTAGAAGTCAGCAGTAGGCATTTTTATTTGTATCTTAAGTTCAGCCAAAAATACATGGACTCCCTGCTATTCTCAAGGTTTTTTACTTTTTTTTCTCCGGTTTTGCAGTCCATAAAACATTTTATGTAGTATGGTTTGTGTATTTTCCAGGAAGACTGTGTTCTTTCCAAAGGCGATTTTTATGGGCCACTGGCCTAAACCTCATACAGCAGCACCACAGAAATCCAAACAGAAACTAAAAGCGTCCAATTTTGGAGTTGTTCTCACAAAATAGTTGCCTTAGGACAAACTGCGGCAACAAATTCTGGCAGTTGAGGAGCAGATGGAAACAACGGAGTGTGTTATTTTTGAGCAAAGGTAACCTTCTACCCTTTCCACATCAGTTCACCTGAAACAAAGTGAGTTCTGAAAACTGTAATGTCAGTAGAACTGGGAGCTCTCTGTGCTGGAGAATAAGCTCCCTGTTGTGAGCAGAGGTTTACTGAGACAAATATGCAGCTGGAGGCAATTTAAAGGGAAATGTTGGGATAAGTTCCTGTGTATTTATTTATTTTGCCTGCAGTGCTGCTTATGGATCAGGTCCCTGCTGGCGGGTTCAAGTAGTGGCCAGAGGTGCGTGTCTGGTCGTAGGACTTGCTGTGGGAAGGAGCAACTTCTGCTTTTCAGGCTTCTGTTACTAAAATGAATCTCACCAGCTTTTCCCATGTGGGGAAGGTGGGATGGTGCTATAAAGCAAGCTGACAGGGCGACCGCAACCTGGCAAGATTGCGTTCGATATGGCCCGCTGGGGGAATCTTGCTCAGATATCGAGAGCAAAAAGGCATTATGCAATTCTTCCTCCTCTTTATAAATGCCAGAGAGCGGGGATAAAACGTGCTGCTCTTTTGTAGAAAAGGCAAAGCAGGATTTTTGTATGCCCAAGTGAGGATCTTGATTTAGGTGTTTCATAAAGCCCTGGAAGTTGACGCATCGAGGTGAAACTCAGTGTCGAGACACCGTGTTGTAAAACTAGTTTGTTTCTTGCTCCTGCTGATGAAATTCTGTGCCTTGAAATTCTTTCAAGACGTGGGCAGGGCGGTGGCGATCTGGTTGGACCGACAGCGCTTTAGTGGTTCTCTTGCTGAGTTTAAGGGCTTCCTCAAAATTGTGTCTCCACTGAGATCAAGCAGCGCTAATTACTGCTAATACTGGGGGGCGTGAATCCGTAAGGACCATTTTTTTAACGTTGATGGCCTCAAACAAAACTCTGTGTTGATTAAATTTGGTCCCATGGAAGGGCCGAGGTGGTCTACGCCTCCTTCAATAAACTAGATCCTTCAAATCGGGCAGATACCACATTAGGTGATTTAAATGACTGTTTTTACAGCTCAAAATGGATTTTTTTTTTGTTTTTTTCTCCCTCTGGACAGAGTAATGCTTATTAGCTCCAGCCAAACCGGCGTTGCTCTGGTTGATCAATATTGTGCAACAGATGTGAAGGCAAGTTCCTCACCACTGGAGAGTTTATCTGCTGGTCTCAGCAAGAAGAGGAGATAGCAAGTCGAGGAAGTGAAGATGCGGAAGAGATGATGTTTGGGCTCCTTCGTCATCGCTGGGAGCCAGGAGGCACCTCTGAAGGATGGAGTGGCACAAGGCCATCTTGATTTTCAGTCAGTGGTGCCTGTTCTTGCTTTTTCAGCGTGTCCTTCATGCTGATGTTAGCTTTTAGTCTCTCCATGCTCACCATTTCGGGAGAGCGTGTTAACAAGGAGAATCACTGCTGTGGGATGGTGGAGAGCAAACAGAGAAGAGCAGATGAGAGGCCTTTGGCAACCCCAGCTTTGGGGACGTTGGCCTCCACTGTGATGGAAGCACAGGACACTCTCTACAGCTACTTGAAAGGAGGTTGTAGCGAGGCAGGGCTTGGTCTGTTTTCCCTAGTGGGGAGTGACAGGACAAGGGGAAATGGCCTGAAGTTGCTCCAGGGGAGGTTCAGGCTGGATATTGGGAAGAATTTCCGTACTGAAAGGGCTGTCAGCCATTGGAACAGGCTGCCCAGGGAGGGGCTTGAGCCACCATCCCCGGAGGGGTTTAGGAGGCGGGTGGGTGTTGCGTTGAAGGACATGGGTCAGTGATGTTGGTAGGGCTGGGAAAAGGTTGGACTCCATCTTGAAGGTCTCTTCCAGCTGAAACTATTCTAGGATTCTGTGATTTGGGCTGCTTTTGCCCAGTGGGCGTTTTGAGTAGGCTCAGGACTGGAATAACAGGATTATTGCGACAGGGTTGAGTCGTACCCATGGAATTGCACAGTTTTCTTGATGTCTCTGCTCTGGCTTGGACATTCAGTTGCCTTGTCTTCGTCACCCTGAACGTGCAGTCGTTTTAAAGCTGGTCAAATACCAGTAAAATATAAGCCACTTCCTTCCCTCTTTATCTGCACATTTGACTAGCACAGGAAAAAAGAGTTCTTTTGGTTTTACAGTGAAAAACTTTGTAGTCTGACATGAAGTCTGAGTTCCCTGAATCCTACAAATGTCACTTGCGTTCTGACTCTGCCTACACTAGTTGCGTGGTGGAAAAGCAGGATAATGATGGTGACCCCTCATCCCCAGGACCTGAAAGTCGTTCTTTTCTTCATCTTTCTCTCATCATCTACTTTAATATTCCTCCTCTCCGGGCTCTTGCTCAGGCAAAGGTAGGAATGACTTTTCTGTGAGGCAGAAAGTTTGCAGCAATGCTTGTTTCCTTTCCATCGAGGTGGGAGTGATGGCAAATAGCTCTGATCTGACCGTGCTTGTGTGTTTGTGTGTACTGGGAGCAGCTCGTTTGTCAGCAGGGAGAAGCCAACCTGGCATCCACCTCTGGCTGGATTTACCTCATAATAGCTTCCAGCTTGTTGTGCTCCTAGCTCAGCCTCTTTTAAGTGCATTGCTCTATTTTAACATGCAAATGCGTGTTGTAACTGGGAATGGTTTTTTCCTAAACTTGCTGTAGACAGTTTTAACTGCTCTGTAGTTCTGAGTAAATATTTGGGTTTTTTTTTTTTTTCTTTTTATTCTCATTCCATGAATAAGAGGCAAATATACACAGTAGTGTATTCCACTAATTCAGGGCACTGCAGGCTGGGCCAAACCTTTATTCCTCAACCCTATTTTTTTCAGTTTTTTCCTGAGTGCAGTGAAGGCTTTACCCAGAGTGTGCTCAGCCTGGCTGTGTTCTTTATTTTCTTTATAGTAAAGCCCTCTAAGTTTGTTTCGATATAGCTCTCTCATGGCCCACCACAAACCCCCTGACGGTCAAAAGAAGGGGGAGGACAAAGGTGCACAGAGCTGTTATTCTTCCAGTAGCCACCGGTGGTGTCTTGGGCAGCGGGGGTGAACCTGGTTGGTTTTTGTGGACGTGAAGGCAGCTCTGCCATGGAAGTAGCCTAAGCGTAAGAAATTATTTTTTGCCAGGGTGCTATAAAACAGGAACTATCAAGAAGAGGGCAGGGGTTGTCATGCTGAGGTGTCAGGCGCCGTGATGTTCTCAGAGAACGGCCTCAGTAACTGCTGCGAGGAAATTTAGGAAGCCCGTGTGCCGCGGGCTGAAGGAGCTGGGGAGCGCAGCGATGTGTTTTCACCGAGACCCTTCCTCAGCACCTCCATCTTCAAGGCATTAAAATAACCCAGCAGAACTGAGGCTGGAGAAGCAGCTCACTGTGACGTGCTTGCGGCCTTCCTGGCGTAAATTTAATACAATTTAAGGGCTGCGTGTGAAAAGCTTCCACTCTTTAGCCCCAGTGCACTTGGTGCGTCTGGTGGACTCGGCAGTCCCCACCAAGCACCATCTGTGAGCAAGTAGAAATGAAATTGAGGGAAGTGGGGAGGGCAGAAGATAAATTACGTATGTTCGGTTCCCGCATCTTTTGAACTTCCTTACGTCCCCCACCCTTTGTCCAAACTGACACAAACTGAGGTGAATTGATTGGTGTATTCTGCAGACCTGGTCTTTCCACTCCGACAAGGCAGACAAAGCGTAATACCTTGATTTCCCTCCCTCCCCACCTTCTCTGTAGGAAGATATTCTGTAGAACATAGCAAGCTTACATCTCTGGGTATTTATTTCTTGATAGGGCAAGTGCTGTTGTTTTTATGACTTCCCCTTAGGAATGAAAAATTGAGACAGGTAAGTTTTGCACAGAAGTCCTTGCAAAATCTACTCGGTGTGTGTGTGGAGAGGACACATAGCTAGTATTAATGCAACGTAACTCAAGTATCTCTTTACTGCTCAACGAATCTGCTTCTCCACTCAAAATAATAGGTTTGCTGGTGGCCTTGGAAGCAAAGGCTTAAGCTTCTAGTTTCAGAATCCCTAGGATCAGTCCTCAGCGACGTTTTAATACGGTTCTCAGATACTCCTGCAAGGGGATTGTGACTCTGAGCGATTGTAGGTTTGGCTGATAACCTCTTCTTCAGCCCTTCATAGCTATAACTGTTAAGATTTCCTCTTTCAGGTGCTTAGGTAGGATAAAGAATGAAAGTAACTGAGTACGTGATTTGTCATCTTTGAGATGTTTTACGTATTTTCTTTTTGCTTTTTTAATTTTTTTTATTTTTTAGGTTTGGAAGGCGTTTTGAATCCCCTCTTTTGTGGCAAAGCATTATCATGATCGTTACTATGTTACTGATGCTGAAACTGTGCACTGAAGTACGGGTGTCCAACGAGCTAAACATAAAACGCCGCTCTTTTGCAGGTTAGTGACAGGAACTGGCTTTTGCAGGGTAAATCTTTCTGAAAGCATGACGCGCTGTGTTTTGGACAAAAGTTCTGTCTCAATTGCAATCCAGTCTCCTTTCTTGATAACTCGGCGTTGCGCTTCCCAAACTTCTTTTTTGAATATGCTTTTTTCCCGCATAAATATGTAAAGCTCCTATTTTGTTTCAGACAGGTCTTGGTTCAATGTAGAAATCAGAGTTCTCCTTAATATTTCACACCATGCCCTGAATATGGAGCTGGCTGTTATGACGTTGTGCTAGCTTGGATTTTTTTCAAGATCTTGGCTGGAATAAGGAGTTGTTTATTTTAGCTGTACTTTCCCTGGAGCTCTTATCATACACTATTACCTGAAATTTTTATTTTGCAATTGCAAACGCTTGCTTTCGTGTATAATTTATTTCCTACTTACTGAGTTGTTGGCTGTCAAAATAGGAGGTGCTGTCATATCGTAATTGCAAATCTATTTTTTTTTGTATGCCGTTTCCTTGGGCTTTCGTGTGGGATTCAGAGGAACTTTCAGATTTTTTATTTTGGTTATTTGTTCATTTTTAGGTATCGATAATACTCTAGACCCAACAGAAATTATTCTGTACTGAATGAAATGTTCAAACTTTGTGGGAAAAACCCTGGGTTTTTTTGTTTGGTTTTTTTTTACTCCAGATAAGAAATGTGCAAAGGGTAGTTTTTGTGTTTCTCTGTGTTGATGTTGGCTTACAACATTTTATGTTACAGCTTATTACCGGCAAGAACAGAATTAAGGCTGTCAGCTTCTCGGCACTTGTTTTGCCAATATGGACGTGTCATTTGTTCTCTCCATCTGTTCTCTTCCCTCACTCCCTAATAATTGAGGGTCTGATCCAGTTCCAGATCTCCCCAACCACCCTTAGGAGGCAGCAGCTACTGGCTGTGTGCAGTAGGATAATTTATCTGATAGCTAAGGGAGCTACTTCCATTCAGTGTGAAACTCCTGAGGTAAGTGAATTCAGCTGCTGCGGTCACGAGGGCTCTTGGTCTGACAGCACGAGTGACTTAAAAACCCACTTTCAGCTGGATTTAGCAGCGGTTAAACCGGAGGCATTTGGGAGGGGCAGAAGTGCTTTCTTTCCTCCTTTGCTCTCCCGCTTTGGGAAGCGGCAGAAAGGTGTCTCTGCCCTTGCTGAGAGGAAATTACCCTTGTGCACATTCACACGCTTCCGTAGGCTCCTTCGGTGACCTTTGGACAAACAGAGAGGCCGTTGGGTTCGGTCTCTAGCCCTCTTTAAACAACTCTCCCCGAAAGACACGCGGTCTCTGAAAGGGTAATCAGCCTTGCCCTCACTAGGTAATGGAAACTCCTCAAGGTTGCATGGTGCCGCTTGATCCTTTTCCCTGAAACTCACCTTGGCCTGTGTTTAATTAGCCAGAGAGACACATTTTGCCTACTTGTGGACCATAAGTATTTATTTTTGTTGAAAAGATTTGCATCTTCCCACAAACTTTGAGAACAGCTAAAATCTTTTTCTTAACCTGTGACTGATTTTTTTTTTTTTTTAGTAAGGCCAGCTGTAATGTGGTGGCTCAGAATAAAGACGTAAAATGCGTCTCAAGCCCCTTTCTGGTGAGGTAGAAAGACAGGTTTGTATTTCCAGCACAATGTGAGTAGGGTGTGAGATCTGTCTTTCTAATCCTACACCTAATCTTATCTCTTAAGTTTTATGGTGCTCTAGGCAAGCTGATAAATCTATAGACTTACTTTCTTTCCTCATGGCTTACAGGGATGATGAGAAGCTGGGTTTGAACTCAGGCTTATGATTAACCTTGTAGAATCCTGAGGGAAAGCTGGACAATTTCTGCATGATAATATATTGCTCACATGCTTGGACTTCAATTTAAACCTTATTCCTTTCATTTCTCTCTTCCTTCTGAATGTTTCTGCAAAACAATCCAAAATACTTAGAAAGTGAATAGAAATAGACCCTTTCAGTGAAAGGGAGCTTGCAGTTTTCTTGTATTATTATTAAGTGTGAGATTTCCCTCCCAGTCATGTTATATATGTTTACCAGGATGTTTTGAATTATGTGGGAGTTGCCTTTTTTTGTTTTGATTTTATTATTACTTAAGGAACCTTATCTGTAAGAATAACTAGTTCAGGAGGAATCTGCTTAAAATTTCTTGAAGCCTTAAGGAGCGGTCAGTCTCTCCTAATCCCAACAAGCTTGTTCTAAGTCCTTTAGCCTGTTTTGTGGTGGTACTGGTTTAAAATACATATCAACAGAAATTCAGAATATAGACATAAAGCCATTCAGTCAAAGTGCTTGTACTTTCATTTATTTATAGGATAGCTGCCATAGCATGAGTCTCCCTGGACTCATACCAGTAACTTCTGATTTTCTAGGCTCTATATAGAGAATTTACAATGAAAACTCGCATGATCCTTTACTTTTTCTCAGGGTTACTTCTCAGCTGTGGGATTTCCCCTTCACCGTTTTAGTCTTGCAGTGTGAAAGTGCCTATCTTCCTGCTTCTGCCTTCTCTGATTTTTTTCTTCTGGACACATAAACTTACATGTACTGACTGAAGACAGAGTAAGTCTTCTTTTTATACCCAGCTCTTATTATTTTTTAAGCTTGGACTGTATAACCCATTCTGAATTGGAAGAAAGAAAACAATCCACCCACACAAGCAACAGAAGAGGATGACAAAACCCTGTGACTATTTTAAAACCTCCAATGATATGGTTCTTTCTCCTAAATACGAGTCCTTCGAAAGCTGCGTGAGGGAGTCTTCAGCTGAAATCAGCAGGCGTGAACATACCTCCTTATCTTCTCCTTTGCCACTTCAGCTGCATCTTCAGTGCTTTAATGAATCTTTCCTCATTCATTGCCCATTTTTAAATTGCTGGTGGTGCATTCTCATGTGTGCTGTGCTGTTAGTTTGGTACAGAAAGGCTCTGGGTTCAGTGGCATTTCTTTTGGCACAGTTTGGTTTTCTTTTTTCTTTGTTCAAAGTGTTGCAGTGTTTCTGGGTTGTGCTAGAAAAGTCAGATGTCTGTGTGCAGTGTTTGGACTCAAGAATCAAGAGGAGGCTGAAGCAAGGTGCGCTCCCAGATTACACCATCTGGTCACTCTTGAAAAAGCAGTCTCATTCGTATTCTTGCAGGGACAGACACCTTCAGAAGAACTCTCTTTTTTCTTCCCCAAAAAAGGCTTCCACCTCTCTCCCCGAAAGATTCAATTTCGATTATGCAACGGATTTTGAGCACCCTGAATATATGAACTCCACTGAAAACCAGTGGGCAGCACTTCCTAAAAATGGACTTTTAGATGTCTTGTCTTATTATTGTGCGGCCCAGGCTCTTTAAGTAGAACGTGGGCTCTTTTGTTTTCACATGAAGCTGATTCCTCTGGTCATTCACATCCCGTTTTGTCTTCCTTCCAACTGCTGGTTGCCTTAACCTGCTTTATAACTTGTGTCTTATTATAGCCCTCTAATCCTTCCAAGAGCTCTGGTTTTGGCACTGGAAAGCACTCTTGCGTAATAGCTGGAAAAAATTCAACAATGCAGGATGGCTGCAGATGGGGTCCTCTCTATCCTTGATAGAATTGGCTGGAGCTCAGGCTTTTCGAAATGCTTTTAGAACAGCATTTTCCACAGCAAGGCACCTGTATTGTCTTTGATTGAACTTATCTCTCTTCACACTCAACGTTGTTGAGGTAACAGCGTGTTTTCTCTGGTGCTGAAAAGTACGTACAGTAGCAGCGAAGCTGTTTTCTCTTGGGTTTTGCATTGAGGCTGCTGTGGAACTTCCTCCTGCTCGACCCTATCTTAACATCTCGGGGTGGGAGCCCTCTGGAAAGCACAGAGACTAAAATTTCTGGCATGTTTTGCTTTGGCTGTTAGTTGTTTTTATAAGCAAAATGTACTAACTGACTAAGCTGTAACTAAAAGACCCACTGTTGCATTTAATCATACAAGTCTGTTTGTCTTTCCTTTTTTTTTTCTCTCTCCTCAATTGTTCTTTATGTAGCTGCAGATAGTAAGGATGAAGAAATCAAAGCACCTCCCAAGAGATCCTATCTGGGTATGTACTTTACAAACCCGTTCTGCATGAAATTGTCCTCTCGACTGCGTATTTCGTGCTTTGCTCCTTCTTGTAACCACTTTTGGAAATGATTGCATGGTCATTTCTATAGAGAGTGTTTGCATCACCTTTTCTTGACATACTAAAACCTGGTGCGTGATTATTTTTTTAATTTTGCCCTCCTTGCTTTTTTAACTTTCATAGAGGAAAAGATGCTTTCGGCACTACTCCAGAACCCAGTTTTTGGAAGACAGTTGAATTCACCGCGTTGCGTGTCTCGATGATATCTTCCCCAAGCTAGACAAACAAAATATTATGTGGTACGGGCATCTGTCTCTTCAGACTCATATTCCTCCTCTTCCAGCTCTGACTCTGGAGGAAACTCGGAGAAATACGGGAGCATCTTTCAGAATGCTAGATGAGAAATTTCCCACAACACTTGATGTTCAAGCAAAATCTTAGAATCGCGGGATGCTTTGGGTTGGAAGGGACCTTTAAAGGTCATCTAGTCCAACCCCTCTGCAGCGAGCAGGGATTGCCTTCACTCCTCTGAAATTTTCTGGCTCGTTGCTGTCTTCTGTTAGAGCAGCCTCAAAACTGTTTTATTTGGGAATTAATAATGCTTAAGGCAAGAGTTTCCACTCTTCAGTTGCAGACTTGGAATCCATGTTCTTTAATTGGCCCGAGGAAGAGGAAATGTAAGGTGCAAACCAGCTTTGCAGTATTTTCAGCTCTTAGTGGCTTGGAAAGACAATCGAGTTGCAGTAATTTTCTTTTAAATTACTTGGGATATCACATTAAGGGAGCTAGACTGCCTAGGGATATGGAAGTTGCCCGAAGTCAACTTTTAGACTGATTTTAATGGAACCGATTCAGAATCTTGCATTGATCCTAGTTAGGCTCTGTTTGCAAGGAGTCACCTGAAAAATACAGGGTAAAGAATAGTATCGCTGGTTCAAAAGGATCTCTACTTCTGTAGTTGTGAACACACAGTTAATTAAGCTGGAGCTCTGAGAAACACTCCCAAGGAGTTAATGTTAACTTGAGTACCTTCTTGAAGCCCGAAGGTTTTTCCTGCTAAGGTTAAATAGATTCTTTTGCAGTGATTTATTTTCTGGATCATCCCTCTTTTCAGCTTTAGGGGTAAAATGCAGGCTTTGGGGAATTTACCTTTTTTTTTTGATCTGGTACAAGTATTTTGCAAAGCACCTTTTCCTTTTGTGTTTTAAAAAAAACTTTTTTTTTTTTTTTTTCCCTGGACTTGAACTATTTTGTTTTTGTGTTTGACTACAAACTAGAAGTCAAGACGTTCTCACTGGCTTGCAGCATTAACCCATGGAATGTAAACTTCCTGTCTTCCTTGTGCCTGTGGTCCTGGTGTCTTTTACTGGAAATTCAGCGATGCCTTATTTACAGTGTCAGAGCTGGAAGCAGCTGTCTGTTCTCCCCGTTATAACTGAGTGGATTGTTTAAAAATACTTCAAGTGGTTCAAATTAAACAGACATAAGTAATTTAATGTGACCTTTTACTCATGTCAAGATTTTTTTTTCCTTTTTTTTTTTTTTCCTTTCTTTGGTTTAAAAGTTAGTAGCTTGGTAGTTTGATAGCTTGAAAAGTTGAGGTTTTTAAGAAAAAGTGGCATATCTCTTAATCCAGCTGATTTAAGTCTGACACATGTGGTTGGTAAATCTTCCTTGGAGTTCATTTTGGAATTGCTTAGCAAAATAGGATGTATGGAATTATCACTGAGGAAGAGGAGAATCTCGCGCTACTGCTCAGAAGTTTAAAGGCTGGGGCACGCAGCTCTGTTGAATTCCTTCCAGCGTGAACAATCGGAAATATTTTGCGGTGCTTGTCTATACTGCACGTTCAGAATGGTGTTTGAAGCGTGGTGCTTTCCGTCACGGCGTCAGTTGTATTTCGGTTGACAGGGCACTTGACTGAGCTCTTGTCACCATTTCAGTGGTGTAAAAAAGTGTTCTTCAATACATTTTTAGGCTTAGAAACCATTAGATTACTTTCTTTTTGCCACTTAAACGGTAAGTTTAAGAATTGAAGATTGGCTTTTCGTGCACGTTGTTGTAGAACTGTTAATGTACTGGTCTACCCATGAATTCCAGGTGAGCTTGTTAGATAAATACCAAAACGTTCGTTTGATGTCCCTCTTTACATAGGAACCGAGCTCCTGCTGGGCTCCCTGGGATCACTTTTAGGTGTGTTTTAGTGTCAGTAATCCAACAAACCACTTAATGCCACTGTTTTTCAACACGTTATCTGGAAAAAGCCTTTATCTAGCACGTGACTCTGAAACCCGACTTTGTGGCAGCAGTGCTGAGGGGACGTGAGGGTACGGGGCAAGTTTGCTGCAGTTTCACTGACCTAAGTAAAATAAAGATGATTTACAGCATTTTTTTTACCTCAGTGAGATGTTTAAGAGCGACTGTGGATAAATGTCTTCATCTGCTATGCTAAAATACAAGTTTCCTGTCATTAGTATTTTGAGCCCTGTGAGTGCTGCAGATTTTGGGGGCAGAAGGAACAAAACACAGAACGAAGCCTTGCTCGAAAGAGGCTCTGTCTTCTGAAGTCGTTTTGAGTGATCTTGGCAGGCAAGTGAATGAGACTTGTTTGATTTTATTTATTTTTTTCCTCCAAGTGGATACTTGAACATTTTGAAAGACGCTGCTGGTAGATCACAGGAGTTTCCCTTCATTTTCTGAAGTTGCTCTTAAAACTTGCTGAACCCCAAACAAAAAATGATGCGAGTAACACTGCGTTTTAAAAAGGGAATAATAAAATGGCAAGAACTTAGACTCACCAACTACCTATAGCAAAATTTGGAACTATATATTTTAATTTTTTTTTTAGGGGGAAAAAACTTCTGTGTAGTTAGCTTCAAAGAGTTAGTATCTACGAAATAATGAATAGAAAATAGGAATGTGAATTAAGCAGCTGCGGTCATCTGCTACGTGGTTTCCAGTGCCTGTGTTCACCTCCTTTGTCCCCACTCTTTACTTAACTCAGGGCACCAGCTGGCTCGTGATAAACATTGTTTTACTCTAGAACAACACCAATACCTCACGTGTGCCACGAAGGATGGAAACTCTTTAATCAGCT